ACGCTGAGGGGAGCAATTTCAGTACCATCCCTGTGAACACACACACCCAGACACACACACACACACACACACACACAAACACACATATTGTGGAGCCTTTTGGATACAAGTGCTTCACAGGAGACAATGAGAGGCTACCTGCTGACTGCCATCTTTCTGCTGCCCTTGGTGAGTAGTTTGTGTGCATGCATCTCTGTACAGTACACATATGTAGGTGTGTGTGTGAGCATACAGGAATTCATAACAGGAATGTGTAAGTATGTATCCATGTACGGGAGTGGGTGTGTACATGGGTCTTCATCATCTTTCTCTTCAGCTTTGCCTACACGATTCTCAGACTTGTTCATACGTCACACTCTCTGGGCGCTCATGTTGTGCCGGCCGCTGGACAGCAGTAGAAATAACGCATAGATGCCGCACTCAGCGCAGTCCACCCGCATACGTTGACAGGTCCTGGCATCAGCTGTTCTTAACGCGACTGTTTCTGTCTAGAACGAATCAACCAGATCGCGCGGCGACCGCAACGACTGCCCTTCATCTCTGCCTGTGAACTCACTTTTATGTAGCCGGGTCTCATGTGAACCATAAAAAGCAGAATGGAAGAGTTGTGCAAGATGTGTGGGAGGAATTATATTCAGCACACTGATGCAGCACAGCAGCAGTTTCCTTGGTAAAGCTACACAGATACAGAGATTGTTTTTGGTTTATGTGAAAATAAATCATCCTGGGTATCATCTTATATCTAGGATTTTGATGCTGATGTGTCTACCATTTTATACTTACCAGTAAAAATAGTAATAGTAGCAGTATTAGGGAGGTTAAAATTAAATCACAGTGCAATCTTTTCTAACCTTTCAGTTAACACTGCCCCCTAGCATATGTGAAGTGTTTGTCCAGCATCTTTCGTCTCAAGCTGATGTGGCAGATCAACTGTTGTGATGCACTTACAGTATTGCATGTCAAATGGGTCTGTACAGTGGGCCAGTGGTCTGCGACGTCAAATTGGAGTTTTATTATCTGTGCTGCACGGTGCTGTGGGGAGCTACTGAGTTATCTGGTCCTCCTAAATAGCCTTGGGGAGGGAAACGTGGTTCTGCAGCTTCAAAATGGGCGGCTTATCTAGACATACATCTGTCAAAGAGTGAGGAGAGGAGAGGAGAGCAGGGACTGGCGAAGGCGAAAGAGATGCGCACTTTCATTGCCCTATGTTGTTATGGTGCCTGTTTGAGGTTAGAGCTTTAAAACCCTCAGCAGTCCTCAGTTAACCTGGGTTGAACCATCTCTTGGTAAATTCATTACTAAATTGGTGTGTGAAGTCTTTCCTAATCTTTCAGTTTTTACTTGCTAATTTCCAGCTAGTGATTTGAGTAAATGTTACACCATTAAAATCTGAATAGTTTTTAGTTAGACATTTTTGTAAATATGCTTACTTGCGTTCTTGCAGAGAGTTAGATAAAGCTTGCTAATCAAGACGCTATGTATCTTGGTTAAAAAGTAATAATAACAATAATAACTATTTGTGTAGCTCTTCACCTAAACAAGGTTACAAAGTGCTTGACAAAATAAATGAGATAACTAACTGCAGATCCCAGCTTGGGATCAATAAAGTATATCTATCTATCCAAACCAACAAAATGACAGTTGGCTGCAAATGTGCGGGATTATTTCTTGGTTGAGAGCATCAACATAAAAAATATGGACATTGTGTCTCCACTTCCCAAACTGTACAGAAATGAAGTCAAAATATCCCGGCTGGTGATGTCACTCTAAGACAGAGACTGTGCAGTAGTGATCAGGGTTAGCGCCACGGTATGGAAGTCCCGCCCATACTCATGGCAGACTCAATGGTGAGTAGGGCTCAGCTGTCAATCATGATGTGAAACCCCCTTTTAATAGCTTTCATAACACCCTCATAAAACAGCAAACTGTGATTTTTACGCTTTAATTTTAAAGTAAACTAATTAAACTAATGAAATATTACGTGTTAATTATCAAACTGTCAGATTTTGTTTTGTTGACTGAGCCAGCCGTTTTGATTCTTAAGCTAAGCTAAGCTAACCTCAAATCATTAGAGTGGTATTGATCTTCTCATCTAACTCTTGGCAACAAAGAGTGCTTTTCTCAAAATGTCAAACTATTCTACTGCTTTAATAAATGTTTTGGTGTTATATGTTTATGTTTTATGAGAAATGTTGTTTCTAAGTTAGTACTATTCATGCACTTTAGAATGAGTATAAAAGGTTACACAATCAGATATTTCACAAACTAAAAGTCTATATAGTATAACCTAAGGTAGTCATATAGTCAGATGTTGTTGGCGTAACTTTTGGTAATGCAGTATATCACAATGTTTGTGTGACATGTAATTGATATGTTTCCAGTTTAGTTTATCATTATTAAAATGCATTTGACCTGAACATTTACTTTGTTGGAATAGCTGTTAGCTACGCAGTTACAGTTACTGGCTGCAGACATTTATTAGCAAAAGATAGCTCTTGGTGCAACCTGTTTTAACACATTAATACGTAACACCTCAGCCAGTTTTGAACTTACAAAGAGCTGGTGTAACCCATTCCAGAGGATTGTGTGTGTGTTTGTGTGTTTGCTTGTCTGTTAACTATCCAAATCAATTTCATGATTCTTCAGTGTGGGAGGTGTGTGACAGAGCACAGCAGGAGATGTGAAACGATCATACAGCTAAGAACAACAGCACATACACACTTCTTTACAACAGCTGCTCCCTCTTCAGGAATGTGTGTGTGTGTTTGTGTGTGGTAGATGGAGGGTGTAAATGCAGAATTATAGTAAAACAAAAAACAAATATCAATCTAGCTCAGTATCATGCCCTGCTATCCAGGATTTTATATAAATACATTAATGAATAACACATTTAAATCTGTCATCTTACATGCCTGTTTGCACTCACGCCAAACAGATATTAGTCATCTGCATCCAATTATTTCTAATTTCTGGGAAGCCTTGCCCACAATATGTATTGGCTCCTAGCTGGTTACCTGCTGCTTAGCAACATGGATATGTGCTACGGATGAGGTCTTCCTTTCATACAATGCCAGTGTCGGTTTTGATATCAAACACTACTGACATGAACACAACAACATGAAAAAGTTCTTTAATATATTTTTGTTTTGTTTTTTGTATAGGTGAAAAATGGAAAACACTAGAGAGAACTAGATGGAAGATAGTTCTAATGATGTTTCACATAATTCATGCAGTGTTTTAAAATTCTGCCCACGTAGAGCACGATAAAGAAAGAAAGTGAATCCTAGGATGTCTTCACAGTCGGTTGATGCCCTATCTTATCTAGGCAGCGAGGCCTGACGTGAATTCATATTGGAGGACAGAGGTAGAGTGTTGAGTCAGCCATGAATCAGAGGGCTGGGACATATTACACCTATCATTTCACAGTGAGAGAGAAGGAAGGGGTGCAAGAAAGCTAAGGGTGCAAAGCAGAGATTGGCCTTAAGAGAGTGAGGGGAGAGAGACACACAGTAACTAGGGTACTACCTCTGGGTAAAGTTTCCCTGCCTGCACCTTGGAACCAGACTTTATTTACTCCACTATGTTCTCTTCCTCGGCTGCTTATAGTCACAGTGAAATGGCATTTAAAGCATCTTTAGCTTTAGTACTTGATGTATTTCGAAGTGAGGCAGAATATGGAGGTGGGATACAAATTTAAAGGGGATCAAAAGAAATTGCTCAGGGATTTGATTTAATTGCTCAAACGTTCAGTTCTGGAGAACCACACTTTAGAGCCTCCACTTACAACTACCTCATCCACCGCCTTGTTAAATCAGGACACGGAGAACAAGAAATATAAAATTAAAAGTAAAAAAAATAACTTTTTGCCAGTATAATGACGCAGACACCTTCGACCCATGATATTGCTTTGCATTGCTACTGCAACCCACAAGCTAGAGGATGAGTCATCAAAAATATTTTAACATTTTACAGGAAGAGAAAAAAAAAGAATTTAGTATTTTAAAAAAGGCAGCTATTTGACAAATATTTGACACATGCAAACAGATTTTTTCAGAGATAAGAAATAAGTTGCATTGTGGCCACTGTAGTTTCTCAGCCCGTTCTCATTCCCAGGTTGTCAAATACGCATGCAAGCAGTGTTCAGTTAGTTGCAACCTGTCACTTCACCACTAGATGCCACTAAATCCTACACACTGCTCCTTTAACTGTTTTGGTCTCCACCAACTCCTGAGGGAAATACTTGTCTCTTTGCTAAATTTTCCACTATGTTCAGCTGGAAATGAAGTCGAGCACAGTAAGTTGCCAGCTGTGCTTTATTGGCCCCTGTAACTACTTGATATCACCTTTTTCCAACAAAGCTCTGCCACGTGTCGAAGTATCCTTGAGCAAGATACTGATCCCCAAATTGCTCCCGATGCACAGGTGTGTGAATTGTATGATATAGTTAGGTTTCTGTTCGATGGGCTTTTGCCTCGCTGTGTAAATGTTGTGAACAGGGTGAATGTGGCAGCTAGTGTAAGCTTTGAGTGGTCAGAAGACTGGAAGGTCGGAAGACTAGAAAGGCGCTATACAAGTACAGGTCCATTTACCATTTACCACTTTTTTAATAATAATATTTTAACCAGTTTCATGGCAGATATCACATGCGTTGTACCCCCTTGGCATGAGCGAGAAGCTGGTTAAGAAAAAGACCTTCAACACTCTTCTCTATGGTGCAGTGTATGTATCAGTATGGTCATTTTGTATTTTGTTTTTGTTTATTTGCTCCAGGTGGCCTCAGAGTCCGAGCACTGTATAATCAAGCGTGAGCATGAGATATGCATGGAGAGGATCATGCTGCACAACCCCAGCGATGACCTTGAATTAGGTAAGTGAGGATGTGTGAGCTTGTGAGTATGGGTATGCATGTGTGTGTCTGTTCCCGCATCCTTCTGTGTGCATAATTTGGCATGAAGCCACCGGTTTTAATGCCTCTGCTGTGATTGAATTGTTTACGTCTTTGGTTCTTCAGAAAACACAGATGAAAGTCATGTATCTCCTAAAAAAAACTTTCCGGGAACAGATACAAAAAAACAAAAAACAGCTTTGTTTTTATAGTCACCGATCTGGTATTTTTCAGTTTATACAATCGGTTTTGAAAACAGCATAGAGGGATGTAAGAATGAATGATGAGTGCAGTTTTATTACAAATACATCTCCCTGAAAGGCTGCTAGCTATACAGCACAAATAATCATCCGGTGATATATACAGTTCACAAACCAAATGTCTGCCTGTAATGTCACGCTGAGCTGCTTTCACATTTTTCCCACATGTCCTTTTTCCAAAAACACAGGAAGCTTGGTATGTGAGTCCTGGAAGCAATTATTTTCTTGGCTATGGACTGTGGGTTTTCATTAGCAACTGCTGCAGGCCTCCCGCTGCTCAAAAGTTGTCCAACAGACTGCATCTCCCAGACTGCACTGTGACTCACGGCTTCACTGACAGCCACCGGGTCCTTGAAAAAAACATGAAACATAAAAGATTTAGAGTGTAAGATAACAAGTATAATGAGGAGAAGAGCTGTAAGTTCAGCTCGTATTTCATCCATAGATCTTGAAGGTTCCACATGTGCTCTTTTAATGTGGTTTTATCTAAGTTTGTATTTTTAAATCTTTATTTACAACGTCTCATGCTCAGATGAAGGTTAGACCACAGGTTTAATTTATAAATGAAAATGTGTTCACCCTTTTCACCCCCATAGTTAAAATCAAGCATTCTCTTATTCTCTCTGCATTTAGCTATCCATTTTCAAACCATGTAGTCACACGTGTTGGCTTTCCTCGACCCTTTAACTGATCCTTGCTTCCGTCTGTCCCTTTCAGAAGGAACCATTCTGTGTTTCTGCTGACAGTAAATTGTTGCAGGGGAAATAAAAACACCAGGTTTGCAGAAATCTGACTTGGTTCTTTAGAAAAACTAAAAAAGTGGAAAAAGAAAAAAGAGAACAGAGAAACAATATGTAAAAAGAAAAGGAGATATGTGGTGGTCTGTTGTAGCCTGGTCAGATGATTTTTCTTTTTTCTGATTTATCAAGATCCATTTCTAAAAGCATATTTCATGATTTATTTGTTATTATATTTTTAATTGAGGTACTCTGGCCTCAGTTTAGACTGTGGGCCGTGTGAAATTGCTACATAATGATTTGCTGTCTGGTGCTATAATCACCATCAAGCTGAATTTAGCCAGTGTAAAATGAATAGTTAACATGAAATAGCCTGCACGGTGTTTATTATTTTAGAACTACATCATCTTCATTCAATTTTATTGAAATTAGTGACATTTTAGATTAGATTTGGACACCTAAACACAACAAAGTACAATTATATACCCTTGTAGAGTGTTTTAAATTTAGAAACAACTAATTTGTTTATTGATTAATTAATTGACAGAAGGTTTATCTGAAGCTATTTTAATAAGTCATTGTCATTTTTTCAAGCAAATCTCTGGTTCTAGCTTTTACAATGTGACAATCTGATGCTTTTCCCTGTTTTATATCATTGTGAATAGTTGTTCCACTATATTCATTTCATCATCATCCACATTTTGTAGACCAAACAATTAATCAATGAATCAAGTAAAGAGTTAGAAGACAGAGTAATGAAAATAGTTTCAGCCCTATAAATTTGTTTGACATGTTTGTCCTTTTTTAGCCATGTAAGATTCTCAAAAGAGCAATGGATCACATTTAGATCTTTCCAAGAGCTTCATGACATATTTTTCCTTTCATACCAGTGTTTAAAGTTTAATAAAAAATGATGAATGAATGCTTTTGGCTCATGGTTGTTTTGAAGAAATGAGCTCTGATCAGTATGCTGCTACAGTCGCACCCCATGACACAGAAGACAAAAAACAAATCTCACCCAGTTGTTCAATAAGATCAGATTTAATGAGGAAAAAATTAATGTCAGAATGTGTTTGTGTACACGTACTCTATACTATGCATGTGCAGTATGTGTGTGGATACTATGCAGCCCAGTGAAGATTCGGTAAACTGTGGGATTTTGTGTGAGCTAGCCAGTGATGCAGACAGAGAGCTTTATTAAGCCAGTTACCTCTGTAGCTCAGTGCGGCTCATTTGGCTCAGATTTGCCCTTTAAAAGGTAATTGGCTTCGTGTCCGGCTCACCAGACAGAACCAAAACAGATTAGAGAGCCAAACAGAATAGAGAAAGGTCTGCAAACACACACACACACACACATACATGTCCAGGAACACACACAGATGCATCTACAAAAACACATTCAAAATGCATGTGAGCGAACGCACATACAATCAGATTGTACCTGCCTCTGCAGCACTATAAAACCACCCAAGCATAAACAACGTGGTAAACCTAGAGAGATGCAGAAAGAGAAAGGGGAGGTGCTGAATATAAAGGACATGGAAGCAGAAAGAAAGAGAGGCCCGAGAAATCGTAGCTGTACTGGGAGCAGTACTAAACAGGATGTGTGATTTTATAGTGAGAATGAGTCAGGTAATGAGTGAGGCAGATGAATGGAAGGAGATCAAAACAAAAGAAAAGCAGAAGATGGAACTGGGTTAAGTAAGATTTAATTTCTGCTTGTTTGGGATACCAGATGGGTAGATAGTATCAGATTAAATTGACAAAAATATGGATGAAATCGACCGTCAGATGCACTGCAGTGATTTGCTAAACATTCAAGTACTTGTCAAACACACCAGCCCTGTAATAAATCCTACATTCATGAATGTTATGTACAGTTTCTGTTACAGAGAGGTTTTGATTCAACTTGATTATCATTTTGGAGGTTTGGTCATGTAAAATCAAAAACAGGGTAAACAAATTAGTTCACATAAGTAAATATCGGTAGTTTTACTTTAGTTCCAGTCTGTTAAACAGGATCAGCCATACTCTGTTTACAGTGTGTTTTGTTTCCATTGTTGGTGTGATCTGGTTGTAGTGTTGTTGGGGATATCGGATAGATCAGCTGCTGAATCAGAGAGAGTAGCAACATGTTTGCCTCATTAGGGCTTTTTTCTATTGATCGAATTAATGCCACCTTCACCAAAGAAGAACAGTACACATATATTAAAGCGGCGATATTCGATATTGTTGTTATAACAATGTTTCAAATGACAATGTGAAAGCTTGTGATGAACCTACAGAAATGTATCACTTAAATCTGCAGTTCCTCTCAGCATTATGGAGCTTTATAGTGAGTTTCAGCTCATTGTTAAGCAGTCTGGCCCACAACTTTACTGTTTTGGTTCAGTCTCACTGCTCTTATAGAGTCGTTTTCCGCTGCAGTAGATAGGGGCTTCTAAAAAGACATGTGCCCTTTACTTTTATAGCTTTCTTCTTATTGTAAAACCTCTCTGAATATTGCCCTCCTACTACCCAGCTGCTAAAATGATTGACTGATACACTTATCTTTTAGTAATCAGTTATTACTGCTGTCTCAGAACTATGATCTGACCGAGCAGCAGCGAGAGGTGCAGAAAGTGCTTTTCAAAACTTTTTGCCCTTGCTTTTGTCTCTCAGGCTACAACACAAGCTGCTGGGTGCAACTTAAAAGCAATCTCTGCAGACCTTACTTAAGGCTGAAACTAACAACTTCTCAAGAAAATAGTGTCTCTGTGCTCCAGTACTTGTAATATTTCTGCACATTTATGAGGGGTGCCATGCCCTGACTTGACTCCAGTAATGATGACAGCATTGATGTGCACAGATGACACAGACCCTACAAACCTGATACTCACTATGAGGGAATGAAACTGGAAAACAACATAAAACCTATTGCTGTGAGAAACGGAAACAACGGTTACGCGCTGGAGAGGAAACAGCTCTCCATGTGCCCAGAGGCATGAGGGAGAGTGCACAGTTAAAGTGCCCCAAATAACAACAACTGTGACAAAACACGCCACAAAGCTTGTGTCATATAAATGAGAGACATCCCACGGACAGAAATGAATGAAAGAGCAGGGCAGATAATATATAATCAGAATATATATAAGTTCTCTTTCAAATCAAACATTTTAGAATATGAGTGGAAAGTATTGTTCTTGCAACTAAATGGATAACTTGTAACTTCTTCAGGCCCCCCACACTTTTGAAACCAAACCTCCACCAAACAACAGACAGGCACAGTTAGCGAATAGATGTTGAACATAGTGAAAAATTGAGCAGCTAAAGAGCCAGATATTTCTGTCAGGATGTGGACAATGGACTTGCAGTCATCAGATGGCCAGACGCATGTCTCCAATTTAATGATAGTGTTTCTCAGTAACTGCTTGATGTATAAATGAGGAACTGTTTGCAAGTTCACCACACAATAAATCTTAAAATGTCATATTATGTCAGTGTTGTGTTCACAACCTTTTTCCAAAAGTAGCTCAAATCCATTATTACACACTGCATTTTCTTCACATGGTTGTCAGGATTTCTAGCTGAAATTCAAAGTGTTATGATCTGACTGAGATAGGTCAAGAGATGTAATAAGACTTGAAAGCTGCTTCCATGTTAGCAATAGTTTTGGGTGTCATGAAAATGCTGGATATCATTGGAAATTAAACTCTATTACCTCCAATTCAATTACATTAACTTGAATTTATTTCAGTTCAATTAAGTTCAATTAGTGTCAGTTTCATTTCATTACTTTTATAACAGCAGTAATGCTGATAGGAGCTTTACACTGACCTCATCGTGTTTCTGTTTCTCTTGTTCTCTGCTCCTCAGTGTGTCCGTGGCTGTGGGATAACCTGACCTGCTGGCAGGCCGCCAATGTTGGTGAAGTTGTGGTAGTCAACTGTCCAGAGCTCTTTCATGACTTTATGGGCCCTGACGATGGTGATTAGCTGTGTCTCATTTGATTTGATCTCATTTGTATTTTAAAAATTCACTTTATTCAGCTCAATTCATCCCAACTCAGTGCAGGCATGTTTTTTTTTTTTACTTTCAGAGATGGGGAAGGTCAGTCGTAACTGTACGGAGGATGGCTGGTCTGAACCGTTCCCTCATTATATGGACGTCTGCTTATTCTATGACAATACCACTAAACAGGACATGTACTATGCCTCAGTCAAGGCTCTGTACACAGTTGGCTACAGCACATCGCTGGTATCCCTGACTTCAGCCATGGTCATTCTCTGCAGATTCAGGTGAGCGTTACAATCTGGCCTCCAAAGTCCTGGAGGCGCATAACTGGTCAAAGATAAGAAAATTATTTTCTATCTGTCTATCTCTGAATTTCCTTTAACCATTTGCATGCTGTCAGACAAAAGTCAAATTTAGCCAGAATGAAAAGAAAGCATTAGGAGTGAAAAAGTCCATTAAAATTAGCATGTTTTAATCTATCAGTACATTTAATTACAGTACTGAGGCATCAAAAGTCATATCATGATAATTAATCGTCAATTTTTCAAGCAAAAATGCCAAACATTACCTACTTCCTCTCAAAGTATTTGCTGCCTTTATCTGTCTTGTGTGATAGTGAACTAAATATCTTTTGGTTGTTGTTTGGACAAAATAAGCTAATTGAAAATGTCACCTCTCTTTTAAATGAGAAAAAAAATTATTAATCATGCCGTAACAACTACAAAACAAAACTGACATGGAACCAATATCGATTTTTGTTAATATCCTTCGTAAGTTTTTGCCAGTATGGATGTAAAATACATATTAAATTGCATTAATAATGGTCTTAAAAAGTTTCTTATAATTAACTTTCAAGAGTGAAAACAAGATGAGATGTGATTTCTCTGTCTTCTCTCCAGGAAGCTCCACTGCACCAGGAACTTCATTCACATGAACCTGTTTGTGTCTTTCATCCTGAGAGCCATCTCAGTCTTCATCAAAGATGGCGTGCTGTATGCTCAGGAGGACAGCGACCACTGCTTCGTACACACAGTCAGTAACAACAACAATGTGGCCATGTACTGTACAAAAATACACACATTATCTGTGGCTGATAAATGACAGGAAAGAAGAAAGAAAACAACCATGACTGCTTGTTTGGTTATTAATTAATGGAAATATAAATAAATAAATGTTATTTTAAATTCACAAGGCTAATGATTTCATTAATTCAAATTTGAAGCAGATAATTGCAAAATGAGGCCTTTATTAATCTAATTGATCCCCACTCTGCCAAAAATAATCGCTGGCAGGTTTTGAATCAGTATAAGAACTTGTAGAGTGTATTGGCAGTAGCTAAATGTTTTCAAGATTATTGGTTAATCAGTTCCAAAGAGCTTTATTAAAGGATTTCATCCAAGTGCAGCCACTCGTTTTCTAAAGGAAAGCATGTTTATAAAATATGATCGGGCCTGTTCTGTTTGAGATACAAAGACAGAGGGCTTGAAACACTTCTCCTTCAGTCTTTCCCATTTAATATGCACCTTTGAAGGAACCTCAATCACATGCAAATTTTACATAAAGCAAACACGCTATTAGATGACTAATACTCCCTGATTACAAATGCAGAACAAGCTCTTAGCCTTTGTCTGGTAACAACACATTGCTCACTCTTGTTAAGCAGGCATGATAAATAAACCTAATTAGGTACGCTAATGGCTTCAGCAAGGCCAGTGGAAATCTTCTACTAGAGTCTCATTAACATATCAATGGGTACTTTGCCCTTTTTGTCAAACCCACTGCTTTACCGTTGTTGCTATGGCAATCACAGGTCACCATCATGGCGTCGTAGTAGCGGGAATCAGATCAGTGCTGTAATTGGTTGACCCCACTCAGAATATGGACTCTTTAATTAACATGATGTCATTAGATTACCTTCCACCTGACATGTAGGTGGGTCCCTACCGCCCGCTGTGAAAACATTTTTAGTCCTCACATCGGTGCCAAATGCAGCATTTTTAGGGTAACTGCAGTGTATTGCAACCCTGTCGCCACAGTGACAACGATCTCTGTTCACACTGTGATTTACAGGAAAGGGTATGTTTTTTTTTGTCACTCTGACATCTATTGTCTTGGACTTTTCAAAAAAAACAGCCAGCCATTAAACATTAATTTTACATTTTGAATCTACAACAAAATGCTTTTACTGTTCACACTTTCAGGGAATTGGCACTTGCTTCTAATTGCAGAGTTCTTCAGATACCCTAGAAGGATTGTCCAACATCAGCAATCCAGATGTGAAATCACTGATAAGATAGAGTTCCCATTGCCTTTGCTTTACTAATGCACCTCCCTGTGTTTCCCCATGCAGGTGGCATGTAAAGCTGTGATGGTTTTCTTCCATTACTGCGTCATGTCCAACTATTTCTGGCTCTTCATTGAAGGTCTGTATCTCTTCACTCTGCTGGTGGAGACATTCTTTCCTGAGAGACGCTACTTCTACTGGTACACTATTGTAGGATGGGGTGAGTATCTATTCTTAAACGATTATTATTAACGCCGGAATTATTAATGCAACTTCTCTTTCCGTTCATGCTGTGAATTCAACCATATATTACATAATTTCAACTTTCAAAAGTCAATATGATTAAGATTTTATTCTCTTATTTGTTTAATGTTTAGAGGAATAGAGATAAGGCGATGAGATACAGTGTTGCCTACACAGTATGTCTTTATCCCGGAGGTCTCGTTAAATTTGTTTATTTGCCAAGGCACATGAGATTTCAGTCAAACTAGCCGATAAATGTTTTTTTAGATACACAAAAAAACACAGCTCAAGTAGCATTTGAACATTGTTTCTCTGCTAATTTTAAAAAAAGCATGTAATAGTTACCTCTTTTATCTGACATTTATATAGATAAATACAGTATAAACCAGCTTACAACCACAAAAATACAAACCTGTTGTTACACTATATGTTGGTGTTTCTAAAAGTATGATTATTGGACTAATTCCTTTAAAAAAAATAGTGTTATTAACCACATCTATGACATGATACGTGTTAATAATTGTACTGTATTTTTATCCAGTATTTTAGTATTAATGATTACTGTTATTACAGGAACTCCCACCATTTGCGTCACTGTCTGGGCGGTTCTGAGGCTCCACTTTCATGACACTGGGTATAACTCTTCTTCCAACTTTAGATTTAGATGAGACCTAAAGGGAAATTACTCCCTTCATTGTTGACACCATTGATAATTGTATTTATGCTGACAGTGTTTTAAAAAAGCATTGAATAAATCCAGTCTTTTTTTATTATATTATTATTATCATATGTTTCATGGGGTTAAATAACTAAAATACTGATGTTTTAGCACACAAATGTTACCCTTTTGGAGGGTTTCACAAGCTTAACAAGCTCTTGTTAATTTCCCTGTCTGCGCCTCCATCTTTAGCTTGTTGCATTTCTTGTCCACAATACATGATGTAATATGTCAGTGTAAGCAAACACAAAACATTTAGAATTATTGGATTGATCTGTCTGAGTATGTTACAGTAAATCATCGTGTTTATATTCTTTTGTTAGGTCTGCTTCCATTTTAACTCTCTACTCCTCTCTGACCGTTGCCTCCACCTCTCTCACTCTGCAAATGGCCACTTGATTGGCGTATTTTATGGTGCTATTTATTACCAAGTGTTGAGAGAAGTGAAGGAGAGCATGTCGAATGATTATTGAAATGCATTGTTCTCCTCCTCCTTCAGATGCTGGGATACAAATGAGAACACTGCCCTCTGGTGGGTGATCAAAGGACCAGTTGTGGCTTCCATTATGGTATGACAGATCCTCATTTGTTCTTTCAATTTTTCTTGCGTATTCATTTTTTTACACGTGCTCAGCCTTTGCCTAATTGAGGGGAATGTAATTTATGATTTATGTTATTTGGATTTTGTTTTTCTCAGATCAATTTTGTCCTCTTCATTGGAATAATCATCATCCTGGTCCAGAAGCTGCAGTCCCCTGATATCGGAGGCAACGAATCAAGCATTTACCTGTAAGTCACATTCAGCAAATTGTCTAACTCCAATGTTATATCTTCAGAAATAACTTGAAAATACGTGTGTGTGCATGAAAAATATTGTACATAAAAATCTATGAAGTAAATTAACATGTTTTGATGTACACTGTGCATATAAACAACCCTGCAGCCAATCCTGTCATTCACTGTTGCTTAAAGGAGGCAATATCTATATTTTTGTTAATGTAAATAAATCCCATGAGAATACTGAAACCACAAATTAACTGATCCCACTCTTAGTATTGCCTGTGTAGCCAAAACCTGATATCACTTGCCATAGAATTGTTGTCTAAAAATGTTAAAAAATGTGTTCCTTCATTATGATGAGCATGGGCACTTCAGTTTATTTTGAGTCAATCCCACACACACCGTCCTGCTGCTGTAAAAACCCAGTAGAGCACTTTGAGTAATTTGCTAAAACTACAGCACTCAGCTTGTTTTTAGGAAATTACTGAGCCTTTTAATGAATTAAATTATATATTTGTGACCTGTTTTTAAAGATTTACAATAAGAACTAATAGGCTTGGGAACGAGACAGGAAAGGGAAATTGGAAAGTATTGAGAGATGGACTAATACATTGTTGGTTTTGGTGTTTTCATGGGATCAGCTTTATACTTTAATTGCACACACAACTGGACACAAGATGAAAACTCTGGCCTTTATTACCACCACTGTTTTTTTCTCTGTGGATCACTGGGCATTGTCCCTTACACTATCTAAACATGTTTTTATTCTGGAGCCATGCATTTATAAATGAATGAATAAATGAATTCTTCTGAACAGTCTTATTTTCAAGTTTTTATCATTAAAGCTCTGATGTGTCATCCTAGACACTTTTCAGAATATATTAATTTGTAGTACCTGTTGGCAGGAGGCTTGAGCCTCATTATGGAGTTGTACTGTAGCCAGACATCACTCCTGTTCTGCTCCCACAGGATTGTGCCTTTTGAGGCCCTGCAGATAATGTCATTCTCATCTGTTGCTTAGACCTGTGAGTGCGTGACCAAGTGTGAAGGTGTGTGCGCGCGCGTGTGTGTGT